CCTCTTGGGCCAAACAGTTAGGAAAGTTATGAATGCAAAAAAGTTCTTGAGGAAATTAAAAGTGCTACACCTGTAAACATAAAAATAATAAGAAAGGTAAATAGCCTTATTGCTGATATGAAGAAAGTTTCAGTGGTCTGGAGAGAGGATCAAACCAGCTATAATATTCCCTTAAGTGAAAGTCTAATCCAGAGCAAGGCCCCAACTCTCTTCAATTCTGTGAAGGCTGAGAGAGGTAAGAAAGATGCAGAAGAAAAGTTGAAGCTAGTAGAGGTTGGTTCATGAGGTTTAAGGAGGGAATCTGTCTCCACAGACTAAAAGAGCAAGGTGAAATAGCAACTGCTGATGGATAAACTGTAGCAAGTTATCCAGAAAATCTAGCTAAGATTATTGCTGAAAGTGACCACACTAAACAACAGATTGTCAGTGTAGACAAAATAGCCTTCTATTGGAAGAAGATGTCATCTAGGACTTCCATAGTTAGAGAGGAGAAGTCAATATCTGGCTCAAAAGCTTCAAAGAATAGGCTGACTCTCCTGTTAGGGGTAAATGCAGCTGGTGACTTTAACTTGGAGCCAGTGGTCGTTTACCATTCTCAGAATCCTAGGACACTTAAGAATTATGCTAAATCTACTCTGTCTATGATCTATCAATGGAAAAGCAAAGTCTAGATGACAGCACATCTGTTTATAGCATGGTTTACAGAATATTTTAAGTCTAATATTCTTTCAAAATATTGCTGCTTATTGACAATGCACCTAGTCACCTCTTAAGACCTCTGGTAGAGGTATACATGGAGATTGATACTGTTTTCATGTCTACAACACTAACACAACAACCATTATGTAGCCCATGGATCAAGGAGTAATTTCAAATGTTAAGTCTTATTATTTAAGAAATATATTTTATAAGGCTATAGCTGCTATAGATAGTGATCTGTCTGATGGATTTGGGCAAAGTCAATTGAAATCCCTCTGTAAAGGATTCACCATTCTAGATACCGTTAAGAACATTCATGACTCATGGGTAAAGGTCAAAATATCAATAAGTACAGGAGTTTAGAAGAAGTGGATTCCAACCCTCATGGATGACTTTGAGAGGTTCAAGACTTCATCAGAGGAAATAACCGCAGATATGGTGGAAACAGCGAAATAACTGCAGATATGGTGGAAACAGCAAAATAACTAGAATTAAAAGTATAGCCTAAAGGTGTGACTGAATTGCCACAATCTCATGATCAAACTTGGAATGAATAAGGTGTTGTTTCTTATGGATGAACAAAGAATGTGGTTTTTGGAGATGGAATCTACTCTTGATGAAGATACTGTGAATATTGTTGAAATGACAACAAAGTGTTTAGAATAATATATAAACTTAGTTGATAAAGCAGTGGCAGGGTTTGAGAGAATAGACACCAATTTTAAAAAGAAGATCTACTGTGGGTAAAAAACTATAAAACAGCATCGCTTGCCACAGAGAAATCTTTGGTGAAAGGAAGAGTTGATGTGGCAAAGTTCATTGCTATCTTCTTTTAAGAAATTGCTGTAGCCACCAACCTTCAGCAACCACCACTCTGATCAGTCGGCCATCATCAACATCCAGGCAAGACCCTCCACCAGCAAAAATATTACAATTTACTGAAGGCTCAGATGATTGTTAGCATTTTTCAGCAATGAAGCATTTTTACGTTAAGGCAATGCTATTGCACACTTAATAGATTGTAGTACATAATTGTTAAACACACTGGGAAACAAAGAATTCATGTCTCACTTTATTGAGATATTTGCTTTACTGTGGGTTGTCTGGAACCAAACCCACAACAACTCTGCTGTATGCCTCTCGTGAATGGGTAGTGGGAAGGTAGTTATAAATATCGGCTATGACTACATGACCAGTTGCAGTTGCAAAAACAATGTAGTAATATTCCTTATTTCTTTCATATGAATATTTTTGTGTATGTATACACATACATATAAAACCTAAATCTTTTTGTTTTAATTGCCTGTCTTATTCTCTTATCATCTCATGTAACATGTATTAAAATAATTAACTTTATTTCTCAGCACTTAAACTACAGGCTACCAAAGGGGAGAAGAAGAATGAATAACAGCAAAGGACAATAAAGAGACTTTGTATCCTCTTCTGGGGAAAGGGTTAGTATGTTTTCAGCTGTAGATGGGATGGCTGCACCATGTTTGGTGGAAGCATGATCTTATTAACTGATATCTTTACTTGGAGATTAAGTCTGTTTTGAGGAGAGGTACATGAGTGTCAACCTGGCAAGAGGTGGACTTTGGGGACTTTTTAATGTGTCCATTTGGCTAGGCTGAACTATACTTCCCAGAATTCCTTTTCTTATCTGCTTCTGGTCAGGAGATTTTTGTGTGTGGAAGATTTGGAGGGTTAATGTGAAGCAGCAGCCATTTCTAGCTCACACATGTCATTTATCTGATGGCTCGTCCTCTGGTGTGAGGCAACAGCTAGGACTGCATCTGTCCCACCCTGCCCTGGAGTCTCCTTCCATATCTCTGCCTACTGGAGCAAGTATGTGTGTGTTTACTCCATGACAAAGGGCACAGACTTTTCCAGGAACCCACACCACCCAAGACAGCAGCAACAAGAATTGACATAGGGGGCAACCCCTTTGGGTCTCCTCCCACTGTGGGAGATTTTGTGTCCTCTCAATAAATCTTGCTTTCAAAAAAAAAAAAAAAAAAAAGAACTGATATAGGTTTAAGTTCATCCTTGTGGACTCCAGCTTTTACTTATGGGTTCTAGCTCATTCTCACTCACTGCCACTTGGCATCCATCTTCCCTCTCCAACTGTCTGCTCTGTGAACTCAAGCTCCAGTGTCAGGTGCAAAGCCAACATCCTTACAGTGACTGCTTAACTAGCTCTGGTCAAATCTCAGTAACAAATCCTTATTTATATGCAATGCATCTTCATTTTTGTGGATCCTGTATTTGAGAATTCACCTACTCACTGAAACTTATTTGTAACTCCAAAATCAACACTCCTGACACTTTTGCAGTCATTTTCATGTGCAGAATGGTGAAAAATCTGAGTCATCCATTCCCAGTTCAGGTTGAACAAGGCCATGCTCTGCGTTTGTTTCAATTCTCACACTGTGAAGTTTACACAGACTATTTAGTGCCACGTTTTTCATCTTTTGGTGCTTTTGTGCTTTTAGTGCTTTTGTTGGTGATTTCACTGTTCAAAATGGCTACCAAATGTAGTGCTGATGTGCTGTCTAACGTTCCTAAGCACAAGAGGGCTGCAATGTGCCTTACGGAGAATACATGCATGCTAGATAAGCTTCAGTCAGGTGTGAGTTAGTGTGCTCTGGGCTGTGAGTTCAAGATTAACAAATCAGCAATATATATTAAATAAAATGTCTTTAACAGAAACACACACAAACCAAGTTTATATATTGATTGGTTGACAAAAATGTGACCAGAAGTTCACAGGAACCTAGCCCTGTATTTCACTTAGGAGCAATGATTGACTCAGTATTTGCTAATTCAGTGCTCTCAGTGACTTCACAAAATATAACTAGTATAAGTGATAAGACTCGATTGTGTAATATATATGAATACAGACAGACTTACGGAGTCTATAATACTTAGTGATCTATCAACGAAACAAAGAACTAAGTACCACATGTTCTCACACATAAGTGAACCCTGAACCTTTACCATAGTACTATAAGAAAGGGATTGGCAGTAGTGGGATACTGCCAGTGGGGGATGATACACATCAATAAGGGTACCTGCTCTCAAAACCAGGTGAAGTGGGAACCAAAAGGAGGCCAAACTTTACCTGTAAAATGACCACTTATATACCTAATCCTGAATTGTACCCCACATCATTGAAAATAAATAAACAAATAATATGTATGAGTACACATACAGATATATAGATATAATATTGTGGCATGTATATCCTTTAGTGGTTCTATTTCTCTAGTTGAACCCTGACTGATAGACCTGTTAAATTTAGCTATAATGATAGTTCAGTTGAAGTTTATGTATTAATAATAGGGACGTTTAGTTATAACAGTAGTTCTTTACCTAGAATTTGAAAAATTCTCCAAATTATTTCTATCAAAATATATAAACATGTCTGCAACTCTAAGTAGTGACTAGTGATTAGCTATCACTTATGATTGTTACATAGCGTTGTCTACATTCCAAGCTTCTGCCCATTCTCCAGCATTCACGGCCAGAGCAAGCTTACTTCCATTATTTGTCATACCACATTATCACTGCTCATTTGGTTGGGAACTGTGAAAGTCAAATCCAGAAAGCAACTATAACTGTCACTCTCTCTTCTTACCTAGATACTCAAATACAAACTTTGTATGGACTAGAAGTTGGTGCTACCTTTAGACTTTCTGGGACTCAACTGCTCCCTGAGGTGCTCACCTCTTTCCCACTCAACAGGTAAGCCAGTCTTGCCTCTGTTCCTGTGAATATCGTCAGATCCATCCTGCCCTTGCTCCTTAAGTTGGTCTGTTTCTTTGGTCTACTATGAATATCTTCTCACAATCTAAAGCCTATCTAACACAGGCTCCAGCTAAAATCTTTGTAGAAAAAATTTTTTTTCTAAAGACTCTAGGACACACAGTGCCTGAACTGCCTATCATAGCATTGAGTTGGTACTCAACCAAAAGCACATATTCTATGAATCTTCCTGTATGGTATCAGTCCTTGTCTTTTAGGTGTTTATGTTTACATATCTCAACTCCCTAAACTTCAACAGCAACTATCTAATTACTTTTGAATCGTTCTACCTATTTATCTTACTAAGCTTGCTGGTAAGCATTTTAAGCTATTAACAAATTTATGGCAGTAGATTAGACCCATGCACAATGTTACTAGTGATTCATTCAACAACTCAAAGCAGAATAACAAACTTAATTCACAAAACAGAATTTTTCATTTCATTAGCATATTTTTAACCTTAAAAAATAATCACACATCTTTCATCAAACACATACCTGCTGAGACTCGGGGACAGTCAGGTAACATGGACTCCACTGATGTGTCTAATGGTTCTGAGCTGGAGACCCAATTACAACAGTTCTACAATGTAATAGAGATAATACTGTTGAGACATAGTTTAGGTAAAGAGCAAATTTTTAGGCTTAAGATATGATACACATACATTTATCCTATAAAATCAACCACTAGAGGTGTATTCAAATTATTTTTCATATACATTACATTTTTCTTAAGTGAACAGTCAGTAATTATTCATGATTAAAATGATTGTGGAAAAAAGTTTATCTTTTACAATTCAGCAAATCGTCCATGTTAATATTAAGATGACATGTAACTTTCTGTGAACCATGATGCAATACATTTCTAAGAGAAGTTTAGATTGCCAAGGTGTAAACAATAAAGGGATTATAATTAAGGGAAAACAAAACAAGGTGTCCATTTTTAACTTTGAGATTAAAATATTAATGTGAACATGTGAAATAGATAATTTCTAAACTACATTCTTTGTGTAATATAAGAAGAAGTGAATTTTGCATTTACTCCTCAAAATCTGGCCCATATAAAAATACTATCTTTGAATTTTTACTTTGACTTGCTCAGTGAAGGTGATAAAAAGAGTTATAAAGAAACACAACCTGATGAAGTGTAGCTGTGTGTCTTATGATACAAAGCCCTCAATATTAAAGACCAACCTGTAAGGTAATAATGACTTATAACTCAGATAAATGAAATTAAAATCTATATTCCTTCCATACATTTTGAGTATGTATTTGGAGTCTGGCTTAAAAAATGTGATTAACTTCATATAGTTTAAAAAATTTTTCTCAACACACACATACACATATACACACACAATGAATTTCCAGACAGACTTTATTTTAAAAGAAATCATCCCATCAATCATGTTGGAAAAATCAGTGATTCCTATTCTGGTAAACAAGCATGTATTGTGTATTTTTAGATGCTTGCTGCCCTGGTTGTGCACCATGGAATCCGTCCTCACTGTGGAAAGATCCTTGACTGGTAGATCAAGTATCTTATTGTATTTCCTTAATTCATTCTGTCTGGAAGAAGATGTCAGCTGTGTTGCAGTGAGGAGAGAATTTCAAAGGCCCCAGTCCCCACCAATAAAGGCTAAGGAATGGCTTTTGAATAGATTTGTCAGGGCAACCCTACTGTTCTGGGACCAGGGAGAGCAGGAATTACATAAAGGAAGGGTTGCTGTATGAGATTAGAAAGTGAAGTTCACAAAGCATGGCAGATTTTTGTAAGAAACACTGGATCAATGAATCTATTGAACTGTGTAGAAAAAAAAAAACCCATGAAAACAAACACAATATCTAGTAATGTTCTTAAATGCTTTCTCTCATTTTACATTTAAAATGGATAAAATATTAGTATTTCTCATGGATCACAAAAGCTTGACGGTTTAAAGTGGATACATAATCTATAATGTTCACTCCTAATCTTAATTAGCAACTGAATGCAAAATTATACAATGTGAGAGCAGAAATTACAAAATAGGATTTTAGAAGATATTTCATACATTCGAAATAAGTAAAATTAATATTACCATTGATAGAATACCACATCAGAGAGTTCTAGATAATGCAGAAGATTAGCACACAATTAGCCAGCTTTTATATACAATGTGACACTTGCTTGTAAGAAATAAGTATTCTCCAAAGCAATGTCAAGATATGTAAATGGATGATTTGTTTTATCATTCATCACAGCCTCTAATAAATTCAAAAATCATGACTTCTATAGGTACTAAAAATAGGCTCCCAATGATACAGGAGATAGCTTCAATGAAGAATGACTTTCTCTTTCTCTCTCTTTTTCTTAAACAATTCCGTCTTTTCAATGACAGCAATTAGCACTACCGACAGACAGGCAGCGATTAGGTACTGCATGTATTTTAATTATTATTCCTCCTACTAGTACCTCCAAATCTGATGAAAGTCAGCTGTTACCCAGGTGATATGTCAGTCTTCCCACACTCACCTACACTTCACATACGTAAAGCTACGTCTTATAGGATTTTCTAGTATCAATAAAAGTGATGACACATTACGATACGCAGGTGATTAATCTTTTTTTTTTTTTAACTTCTTATTGACTTTAAAAAGCTGAGCAAAATAAGCTTTTGTCCAGTTTTCTCAGGTCATTTTTAGCTCAAATACTTAAAGCAAAATATAAGATTTTATGATTCAGAAATTTCTGTTTTTATCTAGACATGTTTAAGGCTTTGTTTGCTCATAAAAATTGGATAGAAGTTAAACACCTTATAGTTAAAGCGAATACGTCCAGAAGTTCTGTGGAATAACAAAGTACCTGTGTAGGATTATAAAGGTCGCTACTGTCATTTCAAAGAGTACATATGTTTGTGCATATGTGCATACACATATGCATGTGACAATTTTACCCTTTGGGAAAAGTATATAGAAAAAAGGGCTAAGCAAGCTAAAATGTTTGCCAGATGCAAAGTATAATTCAACAAAATAACATAAACATGTTGGAAGATATATGTAAAGAAAAACATGTAGCCATTACATATGAATTCAAACATACTGAAAAATATATGTAAAGAAAGACATATAGTCACTACATATGAATTTAATCATACTGGAAAACATATGGAAAGATAGACATATAGCAATTACATGTGAATTCAAACACACTGGAAACTATATGTAAAGACACATATACCCACTAATAGGAATTCAAACATACTAGAAAATATTTGTAAAGAAAGATACATATAACCATTACATGTGGTTTCAATCTGTCTGAAATTCCATCTTACTGAATCCAACTCCCTATTCTGAGATATGTTTCTGTAGTTTAGAAACCGAATCTCAGCCAGGCTTGGCGGTTCAGCCTGTAATCCCGCACCTTTGGGAGGCTGAGGTGAGTGGATTGCCTGAGCCCGCGGGTTCGAGACCCGCCTGGGTAACTTGGTGAGACCTCATCTCTACAATAAATCAAAAAATCAGCCGGGCATGGTAGCGCGCACTGTAATTCCGGCTACTCGGAAGGCTGAGGCGGCAGAATAGCCGGAGCCCAGCAGGTCGAGGCTGCGGTGGCCGGGAGCGGCCACTGCACTCCAGTCTGGGTGACAGAGTGAGACTCCAACTCAAAAAGAAAAAATAAAGAATTAGAAACCGAATCTCTCTCACTGTTCTTCTAGTATTATTTATTCCTCTTTTCAATGCCCATTTATTCCTCAACCCAGTTCTTCAGTTAGGATGAACTTCCAAAAGTGTCCACGCTAGTGACACAGGTAGCCTATCAGGAAAGTTCTACCTAAATTTAAAACATGCTGGGTGTGTTAGCAGCCCCTGAGATCTTATTCTCAGGTGTGCTGAGTGGGCACCAAGGCATGATGCCTAGAGGTGCTGATGGTGCTATGCTTGCATTCCAGGTGCAATAGCCCCTTGTTCCAACAAACAATCAGAGAAAGAAGCCCTTGGCCAGGGCTGGCAGATTGTTATGGATCATAAAACTATTGTTTCTCTGGGTCAGAAGGAAAAATAGAAAAATAGGCAATATAGTGAAATGTAGTAATAGGCAATGTAAAAATAGGCAATGTAGTGTTTCTTAAAGTTTAGTGTTTTCAATTTAAAGTTTTTTTACTCTAAGATTGTGATCCTATAGATCTGGGTGGTTGTAAACTTTCCTCTGTAAAATCCAAAAGTTTGGAGGCTATTGATGTGGACTATTGATGTCTAGAAACCACAGTACTAAGTGACTCCCTTTGACACGTGAACCAAGAGTCAATAATATTTCATAGTAGAAATGAAATGAATTCAATTTTTAAAGTAAAAGGTTAGAACTAAATGTATTATATTGAAAGAGAAAAGTAGGTACTTTCTATTCCTGTGTAAGGTTTTGGAGGTATATGGAGAAGCTTTCTGCCTCGGCTGAGGCCAGGTTTTGATTCATTGGTATTGCATTTGTCTAAGTTGTAAATCACCATTGCTTTAGAGGTTGATCTTTACTATGGAAGGTTTTGTGTGCTCAGATAAATAAAATTATGATTCACCAGGTTGCGATTGCAGGGCCAGTACTCAGAGCTGAATGGTGACAGGAAGGGTTCACAGCCGTTAAGCAGAACTGAACATCTGGCTTGGCTGGATAGTCTCACAGGCCAAGGGTACATCAGGAAACACCATTTGCCCACTCAGCCTTGACAGTTCTGGAGCTTGAGGGAAAAAGTGCCTCTCAGGAGCTGCCTCCAGTTTCTTTTCACCTCTCCGTATGATGTTGGCTTAGCAGCTATGTGTGGTCTTTTAGTTGAGAGCATGTTTCACTTGGAGTAATTGCCAAAAGTAGTCCCCTTTGACCTTCTCTTTCAAAGGAGTCATTATTTAAAAACTACACAAGTAATACAAGAATATATTCCTCAACCTTTGTTCTGTTTGCTAAATTTGTAGTTTAAAAAAGTCAGCTTTTTATAGTCAACAAATGTATATAACATGAGTAACTATCACATTATTTAATTTTATTATTTTATTTTTAGAGACTTAGAGGCTACAAATATATTTTTGTTACATGGATATATTGCATGGTGGTGAAGTCTGGTTGGTAGGTGTAACCTTCACCGGAAGAGGGTATATTGTACCCATTAAGTATTTTTTCATCCCGCACTATTCCTCACCCTCTCACCCTTCCAAGTCTCAGATGTTTATAATTCCACTTTCGATGTCTATGTATACACATTATGTACCTCCCACGCATAAGTGTGAACATGTGGTATTTGATTTTCTGTTTCTGAGTTATTTCACTTAAGATAATGGTCTCCATGTTGCTGTGAAAGACATGAATTCATTCCTTTTTTTATGGCTGCACAGTATTCCATGGTGTACATACATTATATTTTCTTTATCCAGTCATCTTTTTGATGACTTTTTTAGGGCTGGTTTCATGAATATGCTGTTGTGAATAGTGCTATGGTAAACATATGACTGCAGGTGTCTTTTTAATATGATGATTTTTTTTCTTTTGGGTAGATACCGAGTAGGGAATTGCTGGATCAAATGCTAGTTCTATTTTTAGTTCTTTGAGAGATCTCCATACTGTTTTCCATAGAGGTTGTATTAATTTACATTCCCATCAACAGTGTATGTGCATTCCCTTTTCTCCGCATCCATGCCAACATCTGTTGTTTTTTGTCTTTTTAATAACAGCCATTCGGACTGGTGTGAGATAGTATCTCATTGTGGTTTTCATTTGCATTTCTCTGATGACTAGTGAAGTTGAGCACTTTTTCATATGTGTTGGTCACTTGTATGTATCACATTAATTTAAACCTGCTTACAAAACAAAGAACTATTTTACTAATTTTTAGTATAAAAGAAATGAGTAGGCAATTTGTACTACTGTCTTACTCCCACATTTTAAAGCAGTGTTTTGTGAAATAATGGAGCCAGTCGCAAAGAGGATAAAAGCACTGAGGCTTGCTCTACAACCAGACTGTTATTTTTGTGGACATTTCATTTAACTAATACCCCTCTTGGGAGGGTATCTGCAAAATATCTCAGTTTTTTGGTTGATTCCAAAAGAAGTTAGAGTATTAGGTAGTAGGGAAGAAGAATGCCGCAGGACACAAAGGTGACCCTACCACACTTTTCTCCCAATAATAGCCCTTTAATGTGATCTGGGCTCGTTTGTTCTTCATTATTTCAAGGAGTCCTGTAGAGTGGACAGGACTCAGAAAACAGAAAGATGACGGAAGGGAGTTCCATCCTGAGTGTTTGGAAACACCAGACTCTTATCTTGCCAAACTATACTGAAATCCTCTCCCCCAAGGGTCACACATTTAGGTGGCTTCTTACAAGGACATCTGTCACAGGCTTTTAGAGCCTCCTTTTTTGTTTTCATTTTGGGGAAGAACTCTGAGCAGTGTTAATTTCAAAGTTCCACCAAGAATGATCTAATAATTTTTATCTCTAGGATATCATGGTATTTTCCATAATAATACAACTCAGTTCTTTACACAACACCATTTACTTTTCAAGGAGTTTTCTTCTTGGGCATTCATTACCTTTGATTTTCACAACAGCTCACAAAGTCGATGGATTAAGAATTATTGTCTCTAATTCATAGTTATGAAATAGGCTCCAAAAGATGGAGTGGCTTGTCCAAGATTATGTCTCAGCAAAGTAGGTGGTACATGCTAGATCCTTAATTATTGATCTACCCTGCCAGAATCATTATCAAATCAGTTCTCCTAAACGCTTGTTCTGAATTACTTCCAATATGTCACCCTCCTTCCCTTTTGGAAGAAAATTTGAATACACAAATCACTCATAAAACAAAAAATGAACAGAGTTAGTGTGTTTAATATTATTTGGGAATGAAAAACTAACAGCAATAGCTATAATTTACTGAACTACTACTGTTTTTTTCAAGTTGGGGTCTCGCTCTGTTGCCCAGGCTGGACTGCAGTGGCATAATTACAACTCACAACTGCCTCAACCACCTGGGCTTAGGTGAACCTTTCGCCTCAGCCTCCCGAGTAGCCAGGACACCAGGTATGTGCCATCATGCCCAGCTAATGTTTTTATTTTTTTACAGAGACAAGGTCTCGCTATGTTGCCTAAGCTGGTCATGAAGTTCTAGGCAGCAGTCCTCTTGCCTCGGCCTCCCAAAGTGCTGGGATGATAGGTATGAGTCACCATGCACAGTCCCATTCTCCATTTTTTGAGAGACAGGGTCTTACTCTGTTGCCCAGGCTGAAGTGTAATGGCACAGTTATAGTTCACTGTAGCCTTGAACTCCTAGGCTCAAGTGATCTTTCTGCCTCAGCCTCCTGAGTAGCTGAGATTACAGGTGTAAGCCACCACACCTGCCTCAATTTATTGAACTTCTTTAAAGTACCAGCAACTGTGCTATTTCTTTACATGTTCTTTCTCAGTCATGTTTGCAAGGTAGAAATTATATTTTATAGATGAGAAGATTGAGTTTCAAAGAGATTAAATAACTTGTCCAAGACTACACAGCTAGGTAAGATTGAGTTGGGGCTTCAATTTTGAATAGGTCAGTATATAAAACGCTTCAGGTTGCTTTCCAAGGCATAATCAAGGGAACTGAAAGAATTATCCAAGAACTGAGGTTTGCAAATAAATTAATGGCACCCTTGATTAAATTATGATGAATTCAGTTATTACCTATTTTAGTCAGTTAGATGAAAACTGCACAGATTAATATATTTTGATTTTTGAAGGGGATACCTAATCCAGCCTTATATAGACACACATAAATAGTAAACCTAAATAAATTTTCTTGCATTTGTCACCTGAAATGAGACTTACATGAACAACTCCCAATTAAAAAATGATGAATAGGGAATTTTTAGTTTGGGTCAAATACCAAATTCCATATTGGTTATGTGTAGGAAAAAAAGTTACTACCAACTCATTTATTAATCTTATTATTTAAAATGTTGGGAGCAGTCTGTGTATACATTTGGACAGATAAATAGCATAGAAACATTCACAGGCAAGAAATACATGTCATTTACTTTTGAAAAACTTTAGACCCATGGACAAGGCAAGTAAAGATGTAGCCACACCTGTGAAAGGAGAAATATGAAAAACAATGTGGTCAGAAAACACCTGCATGTTAGCATAGGCTTAAAAAATCCACCTATATATGTTTACAGTATAGCATTAAGAAGACTGAAATAGAAGCATTTTGGACTTTTGTGTGATGAAAGTCCTTTTTTAAAAGGAGAAAAACAGCAACAGTAACAACAGATTGGTGACATCATAATACTGCTACTGGATTATGGAGCCTAATTTTTCTATATAGCCAAGACTTTTTTCAAACATTGACTCTTGGTCCTTACAGTGTACCACAAGGGATGGTAGAATTTCCCACCACAGTCCTGTGGGAAGAGGTCAGCTGAAGAGCAACGTGGAAATTCTATCAACAAAAATTGGGAGAAAACCAGGAAGGCCCATGAATCAGTTCATTCATACTATATAAACTTAAGTAAATCATTTGACTAAAGAATTGCTACAACATGAGGTGGCTTGTCAATTGCTTGTAATATCAGAAAGGTAAATAAAAACCAAACAAAATTTCAAGCCAGATATCTGTAATATCTGGTAATATAATGGGCAGAAAGTTAAAAAAAAATGAGAGTATGTTTAATGGGCCTTAAAGAGTATGAAAAGAAGCTTTCTTAGCCTGAGGCTGACCTATGGCCAGTCCTTAGGTTTTTCTTAGCTCAAGGGTCTGGCATGACACTATTTCAGCTTTTTCCTTCTCCTCCCTCTACTGGAAGTAGTGAGTCAGTTAATCCATTGAAGAGTGGAAAAATTAAACATCCGGGAATAAGAATCTCCGAACACGAAGGACTTCTTCAGCCTAAGTTCCTACTGTATACTGTATCTACTATTCTATTGAAAGCTGGAGGGGGCTTCCAAAAAGTATTAGCTCCTTGCAAGGGTATTCTACTATTATTTTAAGCACATCTAGTTCCTTCTACTCCTGCTCCATGTTCTGCCTTTACAAAGGGAGTTTGGGAATGCGAGGTGACAAACATTGGAAGGGGATCAAGGTATAAATGCTTGTACCCATGCATCTCAGCACTGAGAAAACCAAGTCTCACCTCTCTCATCCATTCTCGAATTGTTTTGCCAGCTTCTTGGTGCCACACATTGTGAACAGAGTCTGTCAATGCCACAGCAGTTACCTTACTTTTTACATCTGCTTCTCGTTGAATCATCTGTTTTAAAAAAGGAAAATAAAGTATTGGCTATAATTTTTTTCCTGCTGGGTGCAGCCTGCTTAGTCATAGATAATAACAATACTACATTAAAAATAAGAAAAAGCAATATGCATCTCTGGTTCAGAGTTTCTCTTTTCTACATGGAACATATACCCTGTTCCTGTCCAGAGATGTGAAAAGACCTAATATTTTCCTTTAAAAAGATAATACCACTTAAGTCTTAGAACTACGCAGCTCTATTATTTTCCATGTGGTTTGACAATTCAAGGATTAAAGGGATCACAGGGGAATCCCTGAGGGTTTCTTTTACAAGTTGCTTCTACCACTTTCTATTTCAGTGCTTCAGGGAAGTTAGTACCCGGGGTACACTGTTAGCTACTTAGGACCAACTTCTAATTTTCAGTTGATGGCACATCAGTAAAGAAAGATATCTTGCTTTGACGTCTCCAATTTAACTAGCCTGCTCCTCACCATGGCCTTGAAATTCCTTGGTGTTTTAAATGCTCACAAAGGTCCTTCTCATTCAATGCCCATCACTATAATTTTGCTTTCTAATATATTTCTTTATGTTGGCAAACTATTACATTTTAACTTTTTTCTATAGAATGCTATTTTTATAAAACAAAATGGCTTCTAAAAATTTTTAAAAAGAGTTGCTTGGCTTGAAGATACTGATGAACTCATCAGTGCTCTGCCAGATAAAGACACTTAAAAATGAATGTTCTATATCAAAAGAATCAAGCAAGGCTTCACTAACTAACACTAGTGACCCTAATTTGGCACAACAAACATCATTTTAAAATTACAATTAGAATATAAACAGTAGTCTTTTGTTTTCTAATGTCCTCTCTACTACTTTGCATGATGTCTTTTATTCTTCTAAATTGTTCTAGTGAAGAAAAAGAGCAAATTCTCTATCTTTTGCTATTAATTTCCATGAATTGTCTATCAAAAATATAATAACGGGGTTTTTAAAAAGGAGAATTCTGAATGGTGATGAAAGCTCAGAGAAGGAACACTGCAAGCCAAGCATCTGATACCCAGTGATGCCTGTTGGCATTCTAAATTCAAATTGTCTCTCTTGAATGTCTTTCACCCTACACCCTTCACTGGTAATTTGGCCTCTGCAGCATTTCTGTACCTTAAACTTTTTTACCCTATGTTTTCTGCTTCTATCACATAAAAATCTTATTATCAACATCATAACATTACTGTAAAAATTCACCTTGCAATACCAATAATGTTTTTAAAAGCATGAAATAATACTCTAATACTCCAGATTAATTAAGCAGGAGGCTATCTTCTAGATTTTATTTTATGAATACATTCTCATTGGATCACAACGGCACTATAATATACAAATTTAAATCAACATTAGATAATAAAAAACAAAATTCCACAATAGTGAATCCATCTGGGTTATGAAGAAATTGTGTGTCCTTATTCTTATTTTCTAAACAGCAGCTTTTGTAGAGATCTAGAGAGATTGCTGCTAAAGTTGGTGACAAAATAAGAAAATGTTTTTCTGATATGCTAAGGGTATGTATTCATTTAAAAATATTTGTCCTGGACATTGTTGTGACTATTGTTGACATATGCAGATTTACTAAGGGCAGTGTCTGAATACACTCAATGTTGACAGTCATTTGCAAAATGAATTAAAATTAAGTAATGAATAGGCTAAGGAATTAATGTCAAAGGAGAAAACCTAGGGATCAAAATTCTACAAATTGGAAAAATAGGGAGTTGTTAGATGAACCAGTAAAGTAAAGAAAATCTTTGGTCTGTTTGTCCTTCTGGCTGACATCATTTCAAAACAATGGATGTGATAATACGCAACTTTTCTTCACATCCCACCAAATCACATTATAGTCCAAGATGATGCTTTCTTAAATTGTTATTGTACTTTGCAGTTTAAAAAATCATTTTCATAATTTAAAAAAAATTTGTAAAGAAAGAGTCTCACTATGCTGATGAGGCTGATCTCGAACTCCTGGACTCAGAAGATTCTCCTGCCTTAGGCCCCCAAAGTGCTGGGATTACGGGCATGAACCACCTCGCCTAGCCCTATATTTTATTATTAGAGATGGGGAATGGCCAAATTCCAGAAGATATTAATGAAGAGCTGTTTACAAATGAACCCAGTAACAATGAATTACAAATACATTTGACTATTTCGATTAGTAGATCATGAATAAGTGAACATCTTAACAGTCTAACTTTTCAGGCTATTTACCTGTTTTAACTGCAGCCTAGTTTAGTAGTACTGGAACTACTTGCAACTGCCATTTCTGTCCAAAGCCTCTGTTTCTTGCATTGCTAGTCTGGGGCGCAGTCTCCTTTCCCTCCCTTACTACGGCCACTGTGAATGAGCAATGATGGAAAATGCTAGAGGGTGGCAATGATAGGGGTAGACTGAGTCAGGATTGCTTAAGAGACAGACATCAGAAGGAATATAGCTAAAATAAGGAATGAGTGGAAGCACAGTTGGGCAGGACAACACTTTCTTTAATATGGTTTTAGAAGAAGACCATAATTGTTATTATTATGGTTATATAAACTTGTGTTTCTAAAAAACCTTATGTCTAAAACACTAAACTATATAATTTTAAATCAAATAAGGAGAGAATATATTTATATTATTTTTTATTTAAGTAATATTTAGTAATTTCTAACCAAGTGAAAGAAAGCATTCTTTATGTGTTTCAGAGTTTAACCATTGCATATGTTAGAAAAGACCAAATGGCATAGTGGGAAACGGAAAAATGAACCATGACATTCCTAGGTTAGTTGTGAATATTTTGCATAAACATGCCATTTTCTTCTTCCACAACTGCACAGAATTTTTTGGCGTATCAACAGTAAAGGTGGAAGACAGAAGGGCCTCAGCTTTCCGGGCTCACCTTGTGGCCCAGGGTCTTCGGCCCACCAGGACCCTGTCAATCAGGTGGGTCTCCAAAGCTGGTTCCCAACACATAATAATAATAGTCTAGAAATCCTAGGAATGTGGAAGGGAGGAAGCCATAATCACCAAAGTCCTTCTTTACTTGTCAGTCTAAAGTGGAGATGGTGCAATTGAATTAGGATCCATTGATGTAAACACCCTGAAATTCCTTGCAAAATTTGGTTTATGTGTGTATATGAATATTTTTCTGGGGATAAGCTTCTTGGCCTTCATGAGATTCTCAAAAGGATCTCTAAAGACAAGACACTGGGATCTAAATGCTTCCATGTATTCTTTTTTTTTGAGTTGGAGTCTCACTCTGTCACCCAGACTGGAGTGCAGTGGCCGCTCCCGGCCACCGCAGCCTCGACCTGCTGGGCTCTGGCGATCCTTCCGCCTCAGCCTTC